AGAGAGAGAGAGAGAGAGAGAGAGAGAGAGAGAGAGAGAGAGAGAGAGACAGAAGGAGAGAAAGGATCATTCTTGGAAGCCTACGGTGCCTGTGTGTTTTCCATCTTTGCTTTACCAACAATTGTGAAGAACAAAGGGCTCGTGTGTCAGGCATCGCTCCCCTATGTGTCAGTCAGGCGCTCGCCAATTTCTGAGCATAGGGGGATATTGGTATCATCTTAAAGCTTGTTCATTTCCCTTCCTTTTGGAGAAAAAAATATCCATCTAAGTTGAACAGAAGTCGAAATATCTGTGATTGAAGAAGGTCAGGGTCGCCTGGTCTCAGAGGTCAACTTTGTCAGAGGTCAACTTTGTCAGAGGTCAACTTTGTCAGAGGTCAACTTTGGGAGAAAAGGGCCTCAAAAGCTTGGTAACTTCCATAGACTGTGAGTCCTTGGAAACTGAACATTTACATTTTGTCAGCCTTTCATCAATGTGTTTCAGTCTCAGGACATGCCACACACAAATGTGTTTTGTGTATTAACAAACCCCCCCAAAAAAGGGAAAAAATCTCCCATCGGCTAAAAAAAGATTTCTTTGATTTTCTTATTTTGACGAGCGCCCGATTTCACCACGATGCCTCACAAATGCCGATTCTTCTTTCTTGGCGGAAATGTCCTATATGTAAAATTGATTATGAATTGTATCAGCTGGCAGGGACAAGACTGTCTGCGAGGAACAGCAAACAGACTCTCTCACTCACACACACACACACACACTCATAAAGTCGACCACCACAAACTACTGCGCCATGCTAAGGCCTAAAAAAACTACACACACACACACGCACACATTGTAAACTCAAGCTTTTAAGATAAAAATTCAAACAAGAATCCATTTAGCAAGTAAAGCGTAAAATCTACTTGAACTATCTGTCTATCCATCTCTACTTGAACTATCTGTCCATCTTCTCTACTTGAGCTATATGTCCATCCATCTCTACTTGAACTATCTGTCCATCCCCTCTACTTGAACTATCTGTCCATCCCCTCTACTTGAACTATCTGTCCATCCATCTCTACTTGAGCTATATGTCCATCTTCTCTACTTGAACCATCTGTCCATCTTCTCTACTTGAGCTATCTATCCATCCATCTCTACTTGAACTATCTGTCCATCCCCTCTACTTGAACTATCTGTCCGTCTTCTCTACTTGAACTATCTGTCCGTCTTCTCTACTTGAACTATCTGTCCATCTTCTCTACTTGAGCTATCTGTCCATCTTCTCTACTTGAACTATCTGTCCATCTTCTCTACTTGAGCTATCTGTCCATCCATCTCTACTTGAACTATCTATCCATCTTCTTTACTTGAGCTATCTGTCCATCCATCTCTACTTGAACTATCTGTCCATCTTCTCTACTTGAACTATCTATCCATCCTCTCTACTTGAACTATCTGTCCATCCCCTCTACTTGAACTATCTGTCCATCTTCTTGTCTCTCACAAACAAAAGCATGAGCACACTCTCTCTCCCTCACACTATATCAACAGTGAACGTAGGCTAAATGATCAGAGGGTAAGTCTTTCCGCGACAAACAACACATTTAAAAAAGTAATAAAAAATAAAAATAAAATCCTTCCACATGGAAAAAAGGCGGTATGTACACGTGTGTGTCTGTACACAATGATACAAATAGAGGAACCCAGGGGAAGAAAAGGTGTTGTCGCAATCTGAGATCACGAGGAGATCCATTGGAAGAGCTGGTCGACTCATAAATACATTTCAGTTTGGCTGATGGCTAATGATTGTTTGTTTTAGTACCGTTTTACGGCCCTTGCAAATGGATAAGGTCTACTAATGTTTGACTTCCCATTCAATAATAATAATAATAATAATAATAATAAT